TTACAGTCTAGTCTAATCTAATCAATATAACTGATAAAAAATATATTAGAAACACATGTAGAGTCTAAAATAATCAATACAACTGTTAAGAAATATTAGAAACACCTTTACAGTCTAATGTAATCAATACAACTGATAGCTAATGGATTAGAAATCTATGTACACTCTCAAACACCATAAATAAAAATTACAAACAAAAAACAACAATAACAACAACATAAAATCATGGAAGTTACATTGTTGCCATCTAAATTAAATGCTGGGAAAATGTAAACAAATAAACAATTGCAAACATAATATTAAAACAATAAAACTACCATATATTAACAGTGTTTTCACTTTCACCGAGTTTATTTTTTTAACTGACATTAATGCTGATCATATCTACCAAATATTTCTTAATTTTCAGGATTTTAACTCTTTAAATGTTTGTTTGTTTAGATGATGTCACTGTTGTTTTTATGAAGAAAAAAAACTCTGAAAAAATAAACATCTTCTATATAATAATGTTATGTGTCTGAGATGATTAGCAACAGCTTCATTTTGACGCATGATTATTTTTCAGTCTAAATCAATCTCTTGTGAATTTTTCACCCGTGGAAGGTTTACTTCATTTTTTAATTCATCATTTTTCTCCACAGAGTCAAAAATCTGGACATTTAATCTTATATTTCTTGACTTTTCCTGCCTTTTCTCTGCCTGCAGGGGGCAACTAGGAGACAAGAGTGAAACTAAACCCTATCAGCTCAGCAGGTTATCAGCTCTATTAGCTGCTACTTGCAGCAGCGCAGTGATAAGACAGGATTTATTTTTCATTCACTTCCTGGTGGAGTCTCTGCTCACAGAGCGATACTGAACCTGTCAGCTGCTTCAAAGTGAACTAATGAGCCTGAAACTCTGTTGTCTGCTGACAGACAAAAGCTCCTCTCTGCTCTTTTTGAAGTAAACTTTGCTCAGGTGGCAGAGCAGCTGAAAGGAGGTCAGAGTGAAAAGTAAACACGAGGTTCTACCTGAAAAAGGTGCGTCAGTGTGGCCACGCCCACTGCAGCGTGGGAAGGCACCGGGACACTTCACACGGATTCCTCCACAAGACCAAACCTGACTGAATGGACAGAGGCACGAAGAGGAAGTCCGCAGAGTAAAGGTGAAGATGGATCCTGGAGTCTCAGAGCCGGACTCGGACCCTCAGAACCAGGAGCCGGAGCTGGACCCGGTGCTGGTTTGGGCCCCCAGTGGGAGGCGTCTGGTCTCCGGCCTGCTGGGTCTGAACCTGGTGCTGCTGGGAGCCGCCCTGGTGGCCGGACAGGCTTTCCACCCCGAGGGCCTGAAGCACCAGGAGCCGGAGGTGTTCCTGCTGGTGCTGATGGGGCTCAGCCTGGTCTGGATGCTCTGGTACCTGCTGTGGGCCCGGAAGCAGCCCGGCGTGTGCCCACACCAGGACCACCACGCTGGGGGGGTCACTGTCATCGGTAAGCTGCTGCGCGTGCTCAGTACACTGACTGGACTTTGGTTTGTTTGGATTTTCTGACACCGGCTCGGTTCTGCTGTGTGTCTCAGTGGTTCTGGTGCTGTTCGCCGCCTGCAGCCTGCTGCTGTACGTGTGCAGAGTGGGTTATCTGATGAGCGTGAGGGAGTGTAAACCTGCTGCCACCCTCATCTCTCCATTCATAGAGTCGCCTTTTCTGGCTCTGCAGGTAATCCGGTCCCCGGTCTGGCAGGCTGCCCTCCACAGGCACAGCACGGCACGTTGGTCTGTTCACTACCTTACAACAAGAAGGCAATTTAAAGGCTTCACATAAAATAACAGAAAGAAAACACACCCTGTCCGACCAGTTCTGAGATTTTAACCTTATAACTGCACCAAGTCAGCTCATCCCTCTGGAAGCTGTTTTATTTTACTGTTTTGTTGAATTACAGATAATTATGAGTAAAATCACAGGAGAAAAAAGGATTATTTCACAGGTTAGTCCTGAAAAACAGGCGAAAGCTGTAAATTTAATGTGAACAGCAAAAATCTGTACATTTACAAAAGGTTATTTGTTCTTTTAAAACATTTGATCAACATTCACAGCATGTTTTACTGTATTTAAATCAGCAAAATGTCATTATTTTACAGATATTTGCTTTTGTCCAAAAGGCAAATCATGTTATTAAGTATTAGGAAATATAAAATAACTCTCAAACTGTAATTTTACAGATTTTCAGGTTTTGTTAAATTGAAGATAATGTAGTAAAAGCACAGATAAAAAGCATTTATTACCAAGTTGAGTTAAAAAAAAAAAATTAGAAAGAAAGAAAACTCAAACTCTAATGTCCATATCAGAAATTAATATTTTTACAATCAGAATTTATTCTTCTGCAATGTGTGACTGTAAAATTACACCTTTACTGTATTTTAATCTGTTAAAAATATAAATATACTGACGATATTTGTTCAGTGTTTTCACAGGTTTTAAAAGCAAGAGTATTAAATATTAAAATATTAAAATATGCACCCTTACTGCCAAATCTTTACCTTTAAAAAACAAACAGTATTATAAAGTAACACAGTGGGCATATTCCTACCTCTTAATTTATCATGTAGATGATTTCGAGCTAGAATCATGTGTAAAGATGTAAATATTTGCTTTATATATGTAACTCAATGGTGTTCTGGGTGATGGAGCCTTTAATTGGTCCAGTTGAAGAGATGCAGGTGCTGAGCAGCAGAAAAGGTTTGCACATAGATGCCCGTAAGGCGATACCCCATGTATGCGTCATACTGTGTGGTTTTATTTTAAAGGGCTTTAACAAAAATAACCAAACAAACAAAACGTTTCTATGCAGGGCTTTCACAAAATATCTGAGGCCAAAGCATCAGACTCACAACGCCACGGGACTGAACTCTGTGTTTGCACAAAAGAGAAGTAAATAGCAGCTCGACTGACAAATATAGTCTTTGTCTCTGCTTTTAAACTGATGAGAAACCTCAATGAATTGATATTTAAATGTGTTATTTAAAGGTGCTTAACCACAACAAACCACATGAATTTCACTAGAATCAAAGGCTGCAGAAGTTACTGCTACTCTGCTAAGCTAGTTAGCTTAACTAATTAGCTTTTAGCATTCCCCATAATGAGTTAAGATTCTGCTTTCGCTTTATTTACTTCATGTGGTAGAACAAATACAATTCTAAAAATGAAAAAAAAAACAAAAAAACATGTTTTTACATTTCAGGAAATGAGACACAGTTGCTAAATTAGCTTTAGCGAAGGCTAACAATGCTAGTTTCCATGCCATATCTCTCCAGGTTTCACATTCTGTAGTTATTTGTAGTTTTTATGACAACATAAGATGTAAAAAAGTCCGATTCATAAGTCAGTTTTCACCAAATATGCTAGTAAAAACCAGTTTTTGATAGCCCCTCATGTACGAGTTTTTCATTTTACATGAAATATTTCTGCTGCTAAACTAATTAGCTACCTTAATAAATGATCTTTTAAAATATGAATTTAAATACGTAGCTTAAAGGTGTTTAACACCAACAAAGCGGATGAATTTCACTAGAACCAAAGGCTGCAGAAACAGAAGCTACTCTGCTAGGCTAGGCTAGGCTACTTAGCTTTTAGCAGCACTTGTTGCGTCTTTCTTGAGTTTGATTTAGAATTTGGCTTTTGTTTTATTTACTTTGTGTGGTAAAGCAAATGCAATTGTTAATGTTTGAAAACTAAGTTTACAGAAAAAGTTGCTAATTTAGGTTTCAATAAGGCTAGTTTTTTTTAGCTAAGGCTAGCTTTGACCTCTAGTTCTTCTCCTAGTTTACTTTCCCCCAAAATTTCACTTTAAATAGTTGTTGGTAGTTGTTGTGAGAAGATAATATGTGAAAAAGTCAGATTCATGGGTCAGTTTTAACCAAAAGTTGACATCAATAACTGCTTTTACAAACGGTGTCTCATTGCATGGCTTCAGATCTTACAGGCTTTTCCTGGTCACGTTAAATACAATCAACAAAGGACAAAAACATTTCTTGTTAATTAAGATGCTTTCTGCAGACTCCAGTGGTGTGTGGACGCCAGCATCGATAGTTTGTTTATATGGGAAACAATCAGCACATCAACCAGAACTCGACTGTATCCTACAAATACAGTTCTGAGTATAGTTAGCAGCTTATCATCTACCGATAAGACAAGTAAGAAGTCAACAAGTGCTGCCATTGTTGTGTCATTAACAACAAGACCTTTCAAACTACTTCCTGTTGCTATTGCAGTCTTGTGCACGTCAGAAGCCATTTAGATGTTATTTCATCAGTGTATTCAGGATAAAAATGATTGCACATTTCATATATTCAATTATGAGGTGCATTATTTAGACAAAACATCCTAATAAATTCAAATTTAAGTTCTTAGTGTTGTCCTTAGTTGTCTCTTTTCAGGTGTGTGCTTATTGAATAACTGTGTGTTTCTGCTTTTGTAGACGTATTTGCTGTGGGCTCATTCCAAAGACTGCATTCACAAACACAAAATCGTCACCAGGTGCATCCCTCTGTACACTAAACACACTGTTCCTGCCTGTGGTTTATACATGTTTTATAAAAGTATCAGCTTCTGGTGCAAATTACTTTTGTTTTCTTTGTCATATTTGTATGTTTTTTTTTAAGTTATTTGTCACATTTGCATGCTGTTTCTGTATCTTTGTCGTATTTGCATGCCGTGCTGAGTGCAGGTCGGGACTGATGGTGATCCTGTCGGCCGACCTGCTGCTGTGGTTGAACGCCGTGACCGAGGACTCCATCCACGAAGAGATCGAGTTAGAAAAACAAGACAGTCTCGCGTTCAGCAGCACAAAGTCACCTGAAGATGACGACGTGGATTTAGCAGGTAGTTACTGGACCAGCAGCTGAATCCACGATTGTTCGGTTAAGTGATGAGATGACAGAAAAGTCTAAACTTTCTCATGCAGCTCCTTGAATGATGGTAAACTGAATGTCTTTGGGTTGTGGACAAAACAAGACATTCTTAGGCTTTGGGAAATACTGATCGACGTTTTATGGATGAAACGACTGATTGATGAATTCAGAAAATAATCAGATCAACCTACAATGAAAATAACCTCTAAAGCCACAAAAATCCTCAATCTGTGTGTTTGGCTTTGTTCTCCTGCTGCAGGACGAATTTAACACCTCTAGCCTAGCCTCTCTGATGGTGTTCAGGTCAAAAGCAAGTCCCAAACAAAGTCTTGGACTAGTCCACGTTTAGGTAAAAACCATGCTCACAACCAGTCCAAAACCAATTCCAGAACCAATTCAAAACCAGTCAAATCCCGTCTAAAATTCAGCGTCAAACCCAGTCAACATCCAAGTCCAACAAAAGGTCCAAAACCAAGTCCAAAACTCATCCAAAACCCAGTAAACCAGAAACCAGTTTAAAACCAAGTCCACAATCAATTGCAAAACGAGCCAAAACTGTGTCAAATCCAGTCCAGAACCAACAGAAATCCCAGTACTAACCAGTTTAAAGCAACTGCGAAATTCGTTCAAAAACCAGGTCCAAACCTAAAGCGGTTCCAAAACCAACCACAAAACCAATCCAACAAGTCCAGTCCAAAACCAAGTTGAAACACAAGTCCAGAACTAAGCTAAAAACTAAGTCTAAAACCAGTCCAAAAACATGTAAGAACCAGTCCAAATGCAAAAAAAACAAGTCCAGCACCCTTTAAAAAGTAAGTCCAAGACAGTCCAAAAGCAGCTGCAAAGCCACTATAAAACCAAGTTCAAACCTAAGCTCGAAAGTACCAAACAGTCACAAACCAACTGCCAAACTAAAAACCAAGTCCCAGCAAGTTCAAAATCCAGTCCAGAACAGAGTCAAGAACCAAGTCTGAAACCAGTTTGAAACAAAGTTCAAAACCGAGTACAAACTGGTCCAAGAATAGAACCAAGTAGAAAACAGTCCAACATCACACATCATCCTCTGTGTGTTTGGGTTTGTTCTCCTGCTTGGATCTTCCTTGTTGGTGTTTCATGATGGACCAGAGTGTAGAGTTTTCAAATGTTTTCTTTCTCTTCTTTATATTTTTAACTAACACTCCTGCAGGGAACTCTTCGTTGTGTCAGTGCAGTGGCAGTGCAGCCTGTCTGGCCTTCAGGAAAGGCTTCGAGATCCTCTATCCCTTCAACATCGAGTTCTACCTGATGGCCGGCTGCATGATCTACGTGATCTGGAAGAACGTTGGTCGCAGGATGAGTCCGGACCCGCACCACGCTGCCAAGAAGTTCAGCCTCCAAGTCCTCTGCAAGGGCGGGATAATATTCGGCCCGGTGTTCGGTGGTCTGGTCCTGGTGGCAGGGATCACCGTCTTCATCCTCTACCAGGTCTGGGTGAGTCAGAGGGAGCTCCGCCAAACCGCCTTCCTCATCTTCTACGGCTACCATCTGGCCATCATGCCCGTCATGTCGCTCTGCTCGCTGGCCGGGGTGCTGGTCCACCGGCTGGAGAGGAGGGCTCACGAGGGAGGACACAACCCGACCCGCAGCCTGGACGTGATGCTGCTGGTGGCGGCGGCTCTCGGCCAGCTCGCCTTGTCCTACTTCTCGCTGGTGGCGGCGCTGGCCGTGGGCACCCAGGGGCCTCTGGGGGACCTGGACCTGTCCTACTCCCTCCTCAGCCTGCTGGAGCTCATCCTCCAGAACATCTTCATCATCGAGGGCCTCCACAGGCATCCGCACCTGCTCGCCAAGAAGAAGGACAAGAGAAGCATCTTCAAGGTACACTGTCTAAAAACCCATTAACAAAAATAAAAATAAAAATCTGGCAGCAAAGATGCAAAAAAAATATGTTAAAAAAAACAAAAAACCCCAAAAACAAACTTTGATAAGATCCTGTAATGTTCAAAACTGTAAAAACAGCCAATTTAATGGCCAATATGTGTAAAATAAAAACATTTTTAGTTGATTTAAATACAGAAAAACTGCAAATTTACAGTCTCTCATTGTAAAACAACAAATTACTATTTATAAAAATACATACTTTTACTTGGACATTCTTTATTCATAGTTTGTTTTGTTTTGTTTGTTTGTTTGTTTGTTTGTTTTACAGTCGACATGTACCTAAAGATTTGTTTTTGTTGATAAAGTTTTATCTTACTTTAAAACAACATTTTTTTCTGTCATCGTACTCAATATTTTTTTTGACTAATATACATAAATTGTCCTTCAAATTAGGAAAAACTTTTTTTTTTTTTTTTTTTTTAATAATGCCTTTTTTTATTTTAAAATGCAGTTTTTAAAAAATAACTTTTTTTAGTCAACAGTGTAACAAATCTTAAAAAACTGTTTTTTAATTCTTAATATAATATTTTTCCTTTAAACAACAGCAACTATCTGTAAAATAATGACAAATTTGACTGATATAAATGCAGCAAAATAATAATAATAATAATAATTACAACTGGTAAAACTACAAATTTTTAATCTGGATATTATTAACAGTTTTTGCCCACTTCACATGTAACATAGTTTTTTTCCGTGACTTTACCAGTTATTATAATGTTTATTATATCCTCATGTTTATATAATTATCAAACATCAGTTGTTTACAGTGTACTTGTATTTAATATGGGAAAGGTTTTGTTTACCTTAAAAACTGTCCCCCAGTTAAAGAAAAAGGTCGTACAAGAGGAGAGGATCACGAATGCTTCGCTGCTGGAGGGGAACACGTTGGCGCCACCTGCTGCCCAAGAGCATGATGGGAAAAAAACCTGGACCAAAAGAGCCACGCAGGAGATCTGCGCTTTCCTCATCCTCTCCAACATCATGGTAACGTGTTTTAAATGAAACAATCAACTAAGAACAAACATTTCCTGCATGCATGTAACATGGACGTCACGTCTGCCGGCAGCTCTGGGTGATTCCTGCGTTCGGAGTTCACCCACAGTTCGAGAACGGTTTGGGGAAGCAGTTCTTCGGGTTCTCCGCCTGGTTCGTCCTGGTGAATCTGGGCCAGCCGCTCGGAGTTTTCTACAGGATGCACTCAGTGGCAGCGTTGATGGAGCTGCTCATCTCTGCATGACGAGTGTCTGAGACCAACTTCATCTCTAGACGAAACGTGTCTGAAGATTCTTCGTCATCCAGCTCACGGTTATTCTCGTGGATTAATCGTAGCAACTGGACTCGCTTCAGTTCCTTGAAGACCTTTCATCAGTCAGAAACCGTTCAGAACTGATGAAGCCTCTTGGATGAGACGTGAAACATCTTCACGGAACTCAAGCAAGTCCAGCTGCGACGATTAATTCACGAGAATACTCGAGACAAAACCAAGACTTGAATACCAGCTGGGTGAAACAGGCCCAGAACCGAACCCAGAAAGCCCATGTTTACACCACATCCTCTGGCTTGATTAATCACACATTCATTAAGATCTGAACATGACAAACCCTCGAAGCGTTGGGGTCGGACCATCCCAGTGTATATCGGGGTTTTCACTGATTTTGGGGGGAGTCAGGTAGACAAAAATACAAAACAGTAAAACTTGTGTTGACTTGAACACGTTAAACGGAGACCAGAGTCAGTAGTGTGTCACCAATAGTATGACCAAGTGGCTATAGTTTCAATCTTTCTAATGATGTGCAGGCAGGTTGGTGAAGTGTGCTAATATTAAACGCACAGAGCTAAATAATCTAAAAAGAAGTGGTGCTGCTCATCCAAAATGCAACAGAGTGAATCCAAAATCTTGCCCTGAACTTTTGGGGATGAACTGAAATGTCGACCCTGCAGCAGATCCAACATCTGCAAAGACTGAAACCAGCGGAGTGGAGGCTGTTACAGCAGCAGGTGATGCCCACAGTGTTGTAAGAAGACATTGGTGTAATACGCAGGTGTCCACGTATTTTGGGTTGTATGTTGTTTGTCCTGATAACGCACACAGAACTTACAAACCTCTAAAAAACTGAGCAAAGATTTTAGGGTCTTCTGGAAAAATCTTGAGCCACAAAAACAGGCCAAAAAATGGTCTGAACCCCACAGAGTTAGTCCGGATCACTGAGAAAGACTAAATCCTTCTCCAAGATCCTGTAAAATCAGCATAAAACCATGTGCAAACCATTCCAGAACCAAGTGAGAAACCAGTGCAACATTAGTCCAAACAGAGCCCCAACCCAGTTCAAAGCAAACAGCTTGAAATCAACTCCAAAAAAAGTTTAAAACCAAGTGGGAAGAAGAGTCTGGAAACAAGTTCAAAGTCATTCTAAACCAGTACAAAACCATTTAAAAACCAAGTCTGTACCCAGTCCAAATCCATCTGAAAACCAGGTCTGTAACCAGTCCAAAACCAGGACCAGAACAAGTCCAAAACCAGATACCAAACTTTCCCAAACCACTGCAAAAACCAGTTTGGACCCAAGTCTGAAGACAGTCCAACAACAAGTGCCAGACCAGTCTAGAACAAAGTCCAAAACAAAGTCCCAAACTAGTTTAGAACAAAGTCCAGAACCAATCCAAAACTAAGTACCAAACTAGTTTAGAACAAAGTCCAGAACCAGTCCAAAACTAAGTCAGAGACCAGTCTAAAACAAGTCCTAAACCATTTCAAAACCAGTTGAAATCAGTAAAAAAAAACTAAGTCCAGAACAAATCCAAAATCAGCCCAAAACCAAGTACCAAACTAGACTAGAACAAAGTCTAGAACAAGTCCAAAATCAAGTCGGAGACCAGCCTAAAATCATGTACTGAACCAGTCCAAAACTAAGTCAAAACCACTCTAAACCCAAATTTAAACCTGTACAAAACAGAGTACCAAACTAGTCTAAAACCAACTCCAAAACCAGTCCAAATCCCAGACTAAAAGAAGTCCAAGACCAAACCAGCAAAAAACAAACTCCAGAGCCAGTCCAAAACCAATTCAAATACCAAGCTTGAAACCAGTCCACAACAATTTCAAAACCAAGTGCCAACCAGTCCAGAACAAAGTCCAGAACCAGTCCAACCAGCTTAAAAACAAGAACCAAAGTGGTATAAATCCAAGTCCAAAATCAGTTAAAACTAGTCCAAAACCAAGCCTCAGATCATTTCAAGACCAGTTAAATCAGTACAAAACTAAGACTAAAACCGAGGTAAACCGAGTCCAATAAAAGTCCCAAACCAAGTCCAGAACCAGGGAGTAAAGAAGAACCCTGATCTCAGCATCATGGAGTCGGTCTGGATTACTCGAGGAGACTGAAGAACTGTGGCAGGTTCTGTGTTTGTTCTCCAAGATGCTGCAGAAGCTTCCTGATGAGGACCTGGATCAACTCTGTACAAGTTTACTGAAGAGATCTTTGCTGTGTTCAAGGTTCTACATATGAACCATGGATCTGTTTTGTTAAATAAGAAATACTGATGAAATAGTTTTTGAACCACGACTACTTTGAACTTTTCTAAGTCACCTGTGAACTCCTTTAAACAAGAACTAAGACCAAAACCTTCCAGTCGTGTTGGATTACTATAGAACCACTAAACTTCATTTTTCTCGCGCAGCTTTTTCAATGCTGACGTCAACACACTCAAAATAAAGCTCAGTCTTGGCACTTCAATGTGGTTTTCATTGTTTTATTTCAGGCTGAATGCGCTGCAGCACAGAACCTGAAGAACAACATGTGAAACTGTCCAAATACTTACAGTCTGTAGGCGAAGAGGGTTTCAGACATGCTGTCATGTGCAAATACTTGTTTTTGTCACTTAAAATACTCGTGTTGTTGGCAAAACGAACAGATTCATGTTCAGTGAGTGTCATGGGTGTGTCAGGTTTATGGTGCATTTAGACAGCCTTCATTTTTCTGTAAGTTGGCAGAAATGTTCCTCTGAGTCACAGTTCAGGTTTGAGGAGGACAAACTGGCACATTTGTTGTTGTTGTTGTTGTTGTTGTGTGGAAACAACGAGCAGAATCCATCTCCAGCAGCTCCTCTAAATCCTCTGGATCTCAAACAGCCTGATGTCGGTGTCGTACCAGATGGGAGGATCCACGTTTCTGCAGCAAAAGACGACACTTCGTTTAAATTGAACAGCAAAAATATTCAGAAATAAACTTAAATGTGATTAAAGGTTTGTGTGGGAAACGGTTTTAATATTTAATAGATGAGCTCGACTATCTGGAGTTAAATTTGGCGAGTCATCGTTACATGGTGACCAGTTGAACAAGAAAGTCTGAATAATATCTGCAAATGTCCCTATGACTGTCTGAACTGTGCATGAAGCTGCTCCGGTGAGCTTCTCTCACTGGAATGTGAATATAGCAAAGCATTTGTTAGCAGCAGTAATGGAGGCAGCTGTGAGCGACAAGATGGTCAGAAGACGTCAGGAAGCAGAAGGAACTCATCTGTGAGGAGTTGGTGATGAACAAGACCATCGTAATTACTAGAATGTCGACTTCCAGAGTCTGAGCTGTCGACAACATCATTCTGACTAGTTCAAACGTATTGTATCTAAAAAGAACGATGTAGAAGTGTTGAATAAAGACGAATTAAAGATCTTAAACTAGAATTATGACGAGTTAACATAAATCTGTCGGTATCTGAAACATAAACTATAACGAGTCAGAATTCAGCTGTAATCACATGAACAGTGAAAGTGACTTCATTTGTCCTGAAAAAATGACGGTACAGAGATTTAAATTATTCTTTGTGGTGACCCAGAACCGAGCTGCCACAGCTGACTTTACCGCAGGTAGATGACCCCCCACATGTAGGTGCGGAACCACATGGCGGTGCCGGCGTTGGCCTGGTACTTCCTGATGAGGATGGGGTGAGGAACCGGCAGGAGGCCGACCAGCGTGCCGTGCTGCAGGAACTTCAGGATTTCCGACTCGTCTGTCAAACCCCTGAGAACGACGACAACAGCTCAGCTCACCTGGTTCTGAACAATCTGAACATGTGGTGGCTTATGGCTAGAACTGGGACGTCCCATCAGGGCAGCTGGTAACGGATTTGCATCTGGACGAACTTGAGCCTGATCCTGCGTCCGTTGTTACACAGATGTTAAAATATTCTTAATACATGCAGCAATAATTGATAACTTGGGTTGTTATATGTCGGTCCTGTGCTTTTAATCCACAGAAACATGCTACAGATGGTAAAGTAGCGAACAGATCTGCCACTGGGATACAAATACATGGTCACAGTTGGTTCTGGTTTGATTTGACACT